CCTTCTTTCCATTTGTCATTAATTTTAATTCAGACCCTTTGCCATGGAAAATAAACACTAGATTCAGCAAGAGGAATGACTCACGACACAGGTACCACTTCATCCTTCCTCTGGAATAAGATTGGAAAAGTACATTTTTTTATTTACTGTGTGGGGAAAAGGCAGACACCATTAATTCCATTAATTCCAATGTAGGTGAGAAATAAATACCCCTCCCACCATTTCTCTATAGATTTGACAGTTATATTTAGAAATAGTATCATAGTGTCATGCTTGGCAATTGAACCTTTCTCTGGAACTCGTAGATGAAATACAGGTCCCAGCACTATATAATCAGGCAGAGAATAAGAAAAAAAAGTAAAAAGGAAGTTTGCATAAGGTCTTATGTATGTTTTTCCTTTATTTTTTCTAAAAAAAGAATGGGATACATGTGCACAACGTGCAGGTTTGTTACACAGGTATGCTGCACCTATTGACCTATCCTCTAAGTTCTCTCCACTCACCCCCCATCTGTCAACAGGCCCTGGTGTGTGCTGTTCCACTCTGTGTCCATGTATTCTCATTGTTCAACTCCTATTTATTGGTGAGAACATGCGGTGTTGGCTTTCTGTTCCTGTGTTAGTTTGCTGAGAATGATGGCTTCCAGCTTCATCCATGTCCCTGCAAATGACATGATCTCATTCCTTTTAATGGCTGCATAATATTTCGTGGTGTGTGTGTACTACATTTTCTTTATCCAGTCTATCAATGATGGGTATTTGGTTTTGTTCCATGTCTTTGCTCTTGTAAAGAATGCTGCAATAAACATATGTTTGCATGTGTCTTTATAGTAGAATGATTTATGTTCCTTTGGGTATACACCCAGTAATGGGATTGCTGGGTCAAATGGTATTTCTGGTTCTAGATCCTTGAGGAATTGCCACACTGTCTTCCACAATGGTTGAACTAATTTACACTTCCACAAACAGTGTCAAAGTGTTTTTATTTCTTCACAGCTTCACCAGCTTATATCATTTCCTGACTTTTTAATGATTGCCATTCTGATTGACGTGGGATGGTATCTCATTGTGGTTTTTATTTACATTTCTCTGAGAATCTGGGATGTTGAGCTTTTTTCCATATGTTAACTGGCCATATAAATGTTTCTTGAGAGTTTTTAGCATGAAGGGATGTTGAATTTTATCAAGTAAGGTTTTATATTAACCCCACCCCTCCTTTCTGTCATCTCAACAATCTATCCAATGGTGATCCTCTTTTGCTTTCATGTATATTCAGTGTAATGCGCATTCATTTAATCTTGCAAGCCATTCATTCATTCTCTTATCATGACCCAGTTTAGTTAATAGATATTTTAATTGTCCATTTTCATTTTACTTAGTCCACTACTCTACAGATAGACAACAGTCTATTGTAAATGATGTTTGTTACCTCTCTGATGTATTTCACCTGAAGTAAAATGGCTACAGTGACTGTAAAATATCTNAAAAAAAAAAAAAAAAAAAGGAAAGAAAGAAAAAGAAAACCACCAAGAATAACCTTATAACTACCTGACAAGCTCTAACATTCCAGTATAAACTGCAAGACAAACTGGCTGTAAAACACAGACCTAAGTACCTAACCATCCTGGTATACACTTGTCACATATAAACCATTTAAAATTGATAAACATTACAGCTTTTGTTTAGAATAATTGATCTGCTTCCCTTGTCAGAAAAATATTCATGGCTTTCAGAAATCTTAGTAATTATTATAATTCAAAGTTAGGGTCCCATTGATATTACACATGTCTAGGTATTTCCAACTTAAGAAATTTAACAAATAATGCTATACTATTCCTAAGCTAAATATTATTTATCAAAGTTTATTGTATAATTTTAACACAAGAGTATTGAAATGTCATATATTACAAGATAATAACCTTGCTTTTAACCACTTTTTTTTTCTCTGCATCAATACATTATTGGCTGGTGGAATAACACTTCCTGAAAAGAAAGCTGAATTGCAGAAAATATATTAAAAATATCACAATTTCTAAAATGTTAAAATCATTACTGACAACACTTTTGCTTAGATAGTTTAAAATGCCAATGTAAATGAACACCACTTTACCACCAAAAAAAAAAAAACCTTCACATTCATGTATGAAACATATTAGTCTGTAATCCAATTCTGGTTTAGGGATTGGGACACCAGAATTAGGAATTTATAGTCCCTCACCTGTAGAAAATTACAGTTTTTTTGATAAATCAAAAATGTAAAATAAACAAGCATCCACAATGCAGGGGTCACCCCATCTTTAAAAAAAATTGAAAATAAGAAAAATTATTTTTGCCCTCAAAAATCAACACAATCTATCAAAATAGATTTGGAAACTCTGCTTAAAGAACTAGACTGAATGTCAGGCCAGTAAAATTTAGACTATCAGCTGTTTAAAATAACACTAAAATCAGAAAGAATATGCCAATAAGACAGGGGCTAGTTCAGCCATTTAAATATACAGAGAAAAGAGAGTAATATACAGGGGAGAAGGTCAGTAGTTTTATTCCAACTACCAGAGGAACTACCCAGGGGAAGTATTTTATCAGGTTTACAGGACTATCTGCTCTACCTGAAAGCACATCCCTGTTGCTGAGATAGTTGCGTCCAGTTATTGGAGCTTGATGTCATAAAATATTGAAATTACACAATGGATATAAATCTCCTTGTTCTGTTTCCATGCTCATCAAGCATCTCCCTAATAATTTGGTTTTCATTACAGCTTAAATACAGAGAGCAAATGTACTTAACAGACAAATGTGAATGTCAAGTCAGTTTCACAGATATTTCTCATTTTAAGTGACAGAATGGCCTCTGTGAGGTCTCTTAGTGTGAGTTAGCATCTTTATGTCCAATCGTTCTTATTAACAGAGATGCGGTTGAGGCTGTATTCTGAGCCCACACAGCTCAGAGTCCGACTCTGCACTGCGGCAAGGTCACCAGGCAAATAAATGAATACCATCCTGAGGCACTGTATATAGGTGACCTGTTGACCTACCACATGAAAACACCTATTCATCCACATTACATGTGTTCTTAAATCTTCTAAACTGATTAAGGCCATATCATAGTTGTGCAGGCAGCATACCTAACTCTACCTGTAGCACATCACATGGGATGAAAGAGTAGGATCTAACCCTTCAGCCGAGGCTTGACTTTGCCCAGTAGCTAAGGGAGGAAAGAGTACTCTAGAAAGAGGAAACTTCCTTTGCAAAGAGCTGACACATGTGAGAAAACTTGGGAAGAGCAGTCTTTGGAAAGTCTGCATTATAGAATATTCTTTGGGGAGAGATAAGAGATGACATTGGAAATGTGGAACATGACAAAATTATGATGAATTTATATGTTTTCAAATAAATTGTGAAGAATATCGAGTGTCTGCCATGCTCTAGGCTCCATTATAGACCTTTGAGACACATAATTGAATGGGAGGTTGGACTGTGTAGTATAGTTAATGAAGGCTAAAAACATTTAGCCAGAGAAATGATGGGTTTCTTACAAAGACATTCAATACAATGGTAGTGTGCAGAAGAGGGTTTACATAGCAAGGCTAAGACTGCTATTCTCAGAAAGACCTGCTTATAAGATTACATTTTGGCTTGTGTCTGGGAAATTGGATTTCACGAAGGTTCTCAGCATTCCCCAACTTATTAAAATGGCTCTGCCTAAACTGTTTATACAAACAATGTGATTGTCCTGAACAGCTGCTCTCCTTTTGCAAACTTGGAATTTTGGTAAATGAAAGACAGACGGTGTCTGCATGACCAGTCAACTACAAAAATATTGGGTACTGGGTCTCTAATGAGCTTGCCTGGCAAATGGCATTTCATATATGTTATCTGAATTTAATGCTGAAAAGATTAACCATGTCCCATGTGTCTCCACAGGGAGAGGATTCCTGGAATCTTGTACTTGGCTTTCTCTCAGACTTCACTTCATGCACATTTTCCCTTTGCAGATTTTGCTTTGTATCTTTTAGCTATAATAAATCTTATTTGTGAGTGCAACAATATGCTGAGTCCTGCACGTCATTCTAGCAAATCAATGAGCTTGGAGGGTGGTCTTGGGGTTCCCCAACACAAACAGGTGGGAAGAGATCAGGAATGGATATGTGCAGTAATTGAGGTAGTAGTTGATGATCACTTGATGGTCAGCCAGAAATCTAAAATTAAGATTCTGAATTTTCATGGGTTACTGAATAAATAGTATTATTATTAAGCAATATATTATAAAAGTTTTGAGAAGAAACAAACTTAGGGAGAAAAATATTTTCATTTTAGACTTATTACATTTAATTTAGCTATCAGATATCCATAGAGGGCAACTTAATAGGTAGTAAGAAACATAGGCTTGGACCCTGGGATAGACACACTGTAGGAGTCACTGGCATATAGAAGGGTATCTATTAGATCACTCAAGAAAGCTCCGGGAAGCAAGGAAAAAGAACCAAAGATTAAACCACAGAATTCAGCATTTACGAGGCAGAAGAAAGAAAAGGATTCTACAAAAGAAATAGAATGGTAACAAATTTTAAATAGTATCAAGTACCACAGAAAAGTGAATTATGAAGATATCTGAGCATTGTCCATTGAATTCACAATACTAAACGTCTCTAAAGACCTAGGAGCGGGTAGCATTACTAGAATGTGTGTGCTGGACAATAGCAGAAGAAAAAACCAGATTAATGAGTGAGTAGGAAAAAAAGAAATAGAGACAAAGAAAAATAAGATAATTCCCTAAAGCATAGACAAAGCATTTTTGTTTTTTTTTTTTGTTTGTTTCTTGTCATTGCTTACTTACATATGTGAGAGAGCCTTAGACATATTTTAAGTTTAAGGAAATAAAGCTAAAATTAATAGAGAAAGATTGAAGATACAGGAGAGTTGGGAAGGCTTCCAACCCATGGCTGTATTCTTACAAATTATCCTAGCTCTTCAGTGATCAGCAGAAGACAGTTGAATGAGATGCATTGGCAGAGGCGGGTCCTATGTGTTGCACCTGTTAATGTTTTATACATCTTGGCCAGATCAGTGATTATACATATAACAAAAGCAAAGTTATATAGATGTGAGCTTTGTCTTGTAAGTCAGCCCATTCCAAGCTCATGCAGGAGCAAGTCTATCGATGAAATACATTTATTTCCTTGTTAATCTTCATCCTCTTTGTCCTAAAATTTCCATTATACCCATCCACATCAGGTCATTGGTAGCTTCCCTGTTAATAGATTAGCAGAAAAAGCATTCAAAAATCTCCACAGAAATAGGAATAGATTTCCATGAAATGAAT